GAATTAAAACGCTCTCTTTTTTCGTTCATTTGTATTGTTTTTCATCTGTGGTGCCGGAGACGTTTAAAAACTTACCTTGAAAGTTCTTGAAAAGTGTTTGAACGTTACTGTGGCTGCGAACCCTGCAGCCATTTCAGCCCTCAAACGTTCACCGTCTTCCTCGTCTCGCTCTTCTTCTGCAGATCGAAGGCCAGGGACACGGAGCATTGTTCGACTGTAAATGCAGTCCTGACGGGCAGCACTTCGCCGCCACCGACTCCCACGGTCACCTGCTCATCTTCGGCTTTGGCTCCAGCGGCAAATACGACAAGGTGCGCCGTCTTCAACATCCATAACCAGAATGTTGTTTGTAATCGTCGTTAATATTCAACGCAACTGCCTTCAGATTGCCGACCAGATGTTTTTCCACACCGACTACCGGCCTCTGATCCGGGACGCCAACAACTACGTCCTGGACGAGCAGACCCAGCAGGCGCCGCACCTGATGCCCCCGCCCTTCCTGGTGGACGTGGACGGGAACCCCCACCCGCCCAGGTACCAGCGGCTGGTGCCGGGCCGGGAGGGCTGCCGGGATGAGCAGCTCATCCCTCAGATGGGGGTCACTTCCTCCGGTACGTCGGCTTTGATCGTCTCCATTTGTTTTCTTTTGTTTTTATTAAACGCCTGTCTGAAGGAGCCAATGCGAGTCGTTCTCCTCTGCCTCAATCTGCTCATCAGGCAGCTAATCAAAATGCCTTTCTCAGGATGAAGACTTTACATGTTAGTCTAATATTAATGTTCGGATTTCTTAAATACGCATAATGAAAGGCTTTGAAAAGAAAAAAAGCGATACTGGAATTAAAATCAGATTTAATGATGTTTTCTTTTTTAAATCTTGGCAGTAATCAGTAGTTAATGACATGGAAATCTATTTTAATGTATTGCCACTTTAAAGGCTAAAATTCTGCCAGTGGGACTTTGTTGCTGTATTTCCTACAAAAAAGCATGTTTTTCCTGCTTTTAGCTTTTTCTCTGTGGACTTGATTTCTCACTTCCTGTTTGTCTGTCCACTTCCTTCCTGTCAGGCCTGAACCAGGTGGTGAGCGAGCAGGCGGTGGACGGGCCCAGTCCGCTGGACACCATGATCCAGAGGCTGCAGCAGGAGCAGGACCAAAGGATGGGAGCCAACGACGCCTCGGCCTCCGGAGGGTCCGGAGCGAACGCCAGGGCCAGCAGAGGTAGGAGTGACATCCATTTCAACCATGTTTCTGTTTTTGAAGATTTCACTTTTAGAAAATCTCACTTTCTTGGGTTTCCATAGTGATGTGAGCCCACCCAAGAACTACCATCTTGTTTGCTTTACAGCTTCTATTTATTTCGACTTTGAATTCAGGTCAACTCAAAAAAGAAATTATTGAAATAAAAACCTTTTCTTTTTTTTAGATAAATTCGGTCATTTGTACTTGATAAAATGAATTGTTTGCTACTGCTTATCAAATTGGTGACTATATGTTTGTTTTTATGACTTTTTATTTTTGTGTTTTTATGATGTAAAGCATTTTGAACTGTGCCGTACAAATAAACTTGACTCACTGATTGATTCAAGAGAAGAAAGTAAGAAAAAATATATTTCAAAATTGGAAATTGAATTTGATTTGAAAAAGTCTGAGATTTTATTTTTAAGCCACGTTGCAGAGCTATTTATTTCAGCTGTTTGGGGGGAAAATAGGCAGAAAGCTGGTGGAGACGTTCCCCAAAATACGTGCAGCTGTGGGTTCAGTCTGTTACAGCTGAATACAGAAACGGGCCACCCTTTTATTATTAATATTTAGATATTTTAGTAGAGCTCAAACTCATTTATTCTCAAATTCACTTTGTTTTGATCTATCGCATAAAATCCCGTACAAGTACAAATGTGAAAAATTTTTAATATATCCACTATAACTGCACCCTCATTAAACCCAGAAATCTTTTGGATGCTGTGGTTGTAAATAAAACCATTTTTGGCACCGTTTCCCTTTAGGTTCCGTTGGTTCTCCCACTGAGGTCCACTCCCCTCCCAACGTCGGTCTCCGGCGGAGCGGCCAGATCGAAGGCGTCCGCCAGATGCACAGCAACGCCCCGCGTAGCCAAATGGCCACGGAGGGCGACCTGGTGGCCTGGAGCCGCCGGGTGCTGGTTCCTGAGCTGGAGGACGCCTCCGTCAGGTAAAACTTTTAAAAGATCCCCATCTATGCTGCGAGGTTTCTAGAAGACCTTCCTCTCAAGAACACTTTGATTTGTGTACGTGCGCAGGAAGCAAGTGACGTGGCGCGAGGCTAAAGGTGACGAGGAGATCAATATTTATCAGTCAGAAAGGAGGAGACGCACGATCCACTCGCTCCCCAAGGAGAGCAGGGTGCGGGAGTTATCTCCAAATGTTTTTTTTGTTTTTCTTCTTCTTTTTATGCATCCTGTAGCGCATCAAGTAAACTTTCCCCTTCGTTATCTGTCCCGAAGGTTCACCCGACGTCAGAGTGCACAGTAGACGAGGGGAGGAAGAGTCAGGGTAACCACGGCTACCACACGCGCGCCGCCATGGAGGAGACGAGCCGGCAAAGTGCAGAGGCTGCTGACGACGACGACAGCGCCTCAGAGGTACAGATAACGCTCGTATGGATTTATTTATTTTTTTTTTTTTTACATTTTTCAGTTCTATTATTATTGTTATATGTTGACATAATACAGTGTTTGAAATCCTTGAATTTCAATTACTTGATTTCTCTATAAACTCCTTAAATGTGCTTGATATTCAAACTGCACAGTGTTGTGATGAAGTGCAATTCAACGTGCAAAGCCTAAATTTGGAAAACGTCCTTTACATTTGAAACCAGACATTTTCATATTTCTTATAGAAGATCATTTTTTCTGACTGTCTGAAGTAATTTCACAACAAAAGTTTCTTCTTTTTGGTTAGTTATTAAAAATACCCAAAAACTTAGCAAGAACATTTTTTAGATTTTTTTTTGTGTAAATTTCTTTGTATGTTTTCTTTTAGGATTTAATTTGAGCAGATTTGGTTATAATGTTTCAATTTAATGAATATTTATTATTCCTAATGGCTCAATGAATTATTGATCTGTTTAATTGAAATAAAAGTTGATTTATATTTTATACATTAAATGTTGTTGAAATTGGGGGATTTAAGTTTTGTAATACTTTCACAAGACATTAATAATAATAATACATGTCATATAATTGTAAACTGTCTTTTTAAGTTGATTTTGGTTATTTTTTTACGTCCAAATTTTGAAAACTAACCCTGAGAAGTGCTTCAATTTCACTGTGGGGAAAAAGTGTGTGAACCCTGATAATATGTAGTTTTGTTCATTGGTGTGTTTTACGATAAAATAATGTGTTTTCAGGCAGAGGTGGAGGTACGGCAAATTAACGGATACTCCTCAGAGGACGAAAAGAACGAAGAGGAGAAGGAGCCGTGGCCAGATGAGCACAGCAGCTCCAGGTAAATAATTTATTACTTAATATACACAACCAGAAAATTTGGATTTAAAGGAAACATTATATATATTTATTTTGATTGATTGATTTTTTTTATTTTTTAAACAGAAGGTTACAATGAATTTACTTTCACTGGGAAACAGGAATTCAGAATTTCCAACGTCTGGATTGGGGAGAAAGAGCAAATTATGCTTCTGTCGCAAAATACAATTCAGAGTTTATCTTCTAAAATGAGTGACATACAAATCCAAGCGTGACAATATCTGTTATTAAAGCAACGCTAAGGGTTTGTAATTCAGAATCCCAGGGTACAGTGAAGGCAGCGTTGCTTTAATTCAGGGTCAGTGGATTTCCTGTTCACTACATAGTGACTGTGTGTAACAGACAGGAAGTACAACAACATTTTATTAAGTTGCAACTTTTACAAGTAAACATTAAAAGGAGACAGGCGTGCAAATGCACAGACCCTTTCAGAAAGTCAGAATATTATTGAAAACCCTTTTATTGTAGAAACTTTGTCTCATTATACAGATTAATTACACAGATTGATGCTTGAAAACGTCAATTTCTAATTATGATGATTTTCTGCTGATAGCTAATGCTATATTACATTAGACAAAAAATCTTTTTAATAAAACATGTTTAATAACTGCTAAAAGGTTGTTATCTTCAATACAGTTAAATTCAGAAATACTTTATTGAAGAAAAATTAAATAAAAAGTTACTTTTAAGCTGACAAACGTCACTCATTGAGGCACATTTTCTAATTTATTTAAAAATTTGTTGTAACTTGACAAAACTTCTGAACATTTTTTGCNAGGCTCTGTTACATTGTTTCTTGCATNAACAGCATTTTCATAGACAATTTTCTTTGATTATTTTTTTCTTATGTTTTTTTTTTGTTGTTGCTCTGTTGCAGCGATTACTCCAGCGATTACTCTGACTGGACGGCAGACGCTGGCATCAACCTGGAGCCGCCCAAGAAGAGCGTGAAAGTGAAGAAGAAAAACAGCGGCTCCGAGGAGGATAGCGACAAGAAAAGGGAGGGGAAGAAGGAGAAGAAGAAAGAGAAAGCAGACAAAGACGGCGCATTACCAAAGAAGAAGAAACCAAAGGAGAAGAGGAAGGTCTGTTAGAGTTTTTAACGCCGCTAAAGTCAGATTTTAGCTGCTTTTTAGGGGCTTCAGCGTTACATGTTAGAGACATTT